ACTCCCAAATATTCTTTTAGGAGTCATTTATGTAACGCTAGGCTAAACCACAAGAGAGATATGATTTTTGAAGACAGAGAAGCTTGGAAATGTTTCAGAAACGTAACATTACATCTATCATTCAAACTCTGGCGGTGGTGCGCTTGAAGAAGAGGATGAAACTGATCTCTAGCCCCTTCCAAAACGAGTCTGCCCCAGGACCCCAGCTCAGCAGCACACTGCGGGACCGACCAATTAGCAGCCAGCCAATCAGCAGCCAGCAAGGGATAAAATACGGATCTGAAGAAAATGGTCTCCCTGCACCAAAGAAAGAAACACCCGCAGAGCTGACAGTGTAAAAATGCAGCACCGATGTCATTTCCTCAAGTGCTGGATCTCCAGTCTTCCTTTTAACCTTTTCTGGCTGTGCCGGATTCATTCAATCATTCTGAGGTACATTGATTTAGAGGGAAGAAGCGTTTTTAGAGAGGGATGAGAGAGATGGCCCAAATCCACTCTCATGCACTCCTTGCTGGGGTTTCGGATTCTAACGGGAGTTCACAGAATTCCTCTGGGACGAGCATTGGTGCCATTTATCAGGAAGCTCTGCAGGGCTGCTTGTGATGCTAAGTCATCAAATGCATTTAAATGCAACTTGCATCTGTTTGCAGGGAAATTATGCAACATGCAATAACGTTTTTATGTCACACAAACTGTGATCTAAAACTGTGACTCTAAAGAGGAAGGAGACAGAGGTGGACCGTCCTGAACACAGCCCAGACACAAATCTTTCAGCTCTTCCAGGTGTGCGTTCACAGCCCAGACTTTAGTGTCCTACATAAAAAAGGAGAAAAATCTGTCGCACAAGGGTGTGAGAGTGTTTGAGCAGGAGCATCAAATACCGGAAATCATCATGGATTATAATCCCACAGAGGGACGGCTGGACGACATGGGCAAGCTGGTGAATGGCTACAGCTGCAAAATGAGAACCCTACGCTATACTTGTGATATGTTTCAACATCTTAGACATCCCAGCGTGAAATGCTTTCATCATCTGGATATATCCAAACCCACACTGGAACAGAGGAAAGCTCCAGAGCAAAGGATTTTCTCGAGGAGCCTGGCAAGGCCCTGGTGCAAACTACAAATGCGGAGAAGACAAATTCAAGAACAAGCGCTTCTGCAACCTCCGTGAGGAGCAGGAGGATGATGCCTTCACTAACTATATATTCTGTGTGTGCGTGCGTGTGTGAGTGGGAGAGACAAATCCATAATTTAACGAATAAGATGCCCTAATTCATCATAAGTAAGCTGCACTTAGTTTTTCTAAGGCAACAAGTTTGCA